TTCATCCAGCTCTACAGCTTGTTATCTTACTTCCTGCCACCTTTTTTCCCAGCTGATTTATTCAAATGATGTGCTATTTTAAGGGAATGAACATTCTGTTTTACTTCTGAAGCAGGCGAGTCCAAAACAAAACTCCAAAATTGTCTCCCTTTTATTTCCTTCTCCCCTGAAGGTATTGACTATTTCACTTACGCAATGTCCCAAGCACCCCAGTAAGCAACCCTCTGCTTTTTCAGCAAAGCTTGTGCCAAAAATTCAGGCATGAGTCATAAAAATTCAGTAAGATCAGGCAACCTGTTTGACTGTGGTTGACTTTGTAGCCAAGCCCAAAGTTGTCCTCAACGTAGCAACCACGTGAATGATTTTGGTGGGCATTGGTGCATAGGTGTTAAGATTTCATATTGACCATTGCTTGCTGCTGAATTACACTCTCTTTCTTCACCTGCGCTCTACCTCAAGTCTACCTCTACCTCTACCTCTACCTCTTTGGCTCATTCTCTGCTGACATTTCAACCTGAACTATTTCCTTGGCAGCTTTTTATCAGCGGTATCTTGCTTTTGCATTCTCAAGGGCAGGGTGTGGAGGGAGGTTACAGGTGGAATATGGGAACTAAACTCACACTGTTGGTGTCAATCTGAACCACAAACTAACCAGCTTGAGCTAACCGGTCCCCCTCGGAGGACTACCGGGGCCAATACTGTAATGAAACAGTCTTATATCACACCCAATCTTCCTTCCAGAGAAATTCACAGTACAATAAGCTCACATTCTTTTTGAAGATTTATTTCCCACTCTCACTATCACTTTTATTTGCACTTCAAGTGGAAGAACCAACCTTGGCAATATTTTCCAGAGGAAAACCAAAACTGGCCAGGTGAAATTAGGCTGCTGACTCACTATGAGTTTGCTTTCATCTGTTGGCTAATTTCACTCCCTCTAACCCAGTGAAAGCACTCTCTGTTAATGTCAGCAGATTCAGCAAAAATAACAAGTTGGAACTCTTCCTCATCTATGTGGTTTAGTGGTTTGGAAATATGGGAGGTTACAGAAGGCCATTCAGCCTTTTGAGCCTTCTCCACCACTTGATAATTTCATGATCGAACTGAGCATGCTATCAGCTCCACTTTGCTGTCTGCCCCTTCATAACTCTGGACTCCCTTGTCTATTAAAAAAGCTACTTACTGCTTATCCCCAAAGCATTGGAATGGCTGCATTATTGAGTGATGCTGCACAGAAGACCATTCAGGCCATTGCGCCTGTGTCAGCAATTCTATTTACCAGTCAGTACCAAACCATTCAATGGTTGCATAAATATTGGCAATGGCAGACAGAAAAACATTGACTCTCAGGGTAGGTCACAATGGATCATAGAATCCCTACAGTGTGGAAACAGGCCATTCAGCCCATCAGATTCACACCAACACTCTGAAGAGCATCCCACCCAGACCTATCCCTCTACCCTATCTCTATAACCCTGGCCAATCCACCTAGCCTACACATCTTTGGAATGTGGGAGGAAACCCAGGCAGACATAGGGAGAATGTGTAAACTCCACACAGACAATCACCCAAAGCTGGTATTGAACCTGGGACCCTGGTGCTGTGAGGCAGCAATGCAAACCACTGAGCCACATTAATTCATATTTTTACTTTGATGTAAGAAATCCTTTATTTCACAGTCGTTTTTGAAGATAATAGCTATTTGGAAAGGCTGGATGCACTCAGCATTTCCCTCTGGTAAATTTGGAGTAAAAGAAAAATCCCTTACCTACAGTACCCCTGCTGTGATGTGCTAGGTTATTATACCATCCATCATATCGTTGAACTTCCCAGTTCAATGCTGCACCTAAAATGGAACAGAAATTGTATGAACAAGGTTGAAAAGATCTTATTTAATAATACATTGCTTAGGTTAATCATAGAATCTATCTATGTCCTCTTTAAAACCTTTCAGTAATCTAGCCTCCACAACTCTCAGGGTAGAGAATTTCAGACATTCAATGCCCTTTGGGAGGAGAAATAAAAATCCTCTTATCTTGTAACTATGTCTCCTAGACTGAGACTCCTCCAGTAGTAGAAACATCTTCTCCACATCTACTCAGTTAAACCCCCTTAAAATCTTGTATGGTTCAGTTCCCAACCCCCCACCCCCCATTCTTCAAAACTCTAATGAATAAAGGTCTAACCTGGTTAGTCATTCTTGATAAGTCAACCTCTTCAATACAGGAATAAGCCTAATTAATCTCTTTTGAACTGCTCCAATATCTGTTAATGCCATTTTAAGTACAGGGACCAAAACTATACATCGTACTCTAGGCATGACCTCACCCACACCCTGTACACTTTCCTATTTTTAAACTACTGTGCCTTAGCAAAAAAGGCAAATTTCAAATTGCCTTTATAATTACTTGTTGCACCTGTATGCTAACTTTTTGTGTTTCATGCACAAGAATTTCCAGATCTCTTAGTTCTGGAATTTTTTGGAGTCTCTCTCTATTTAAATAATAAACTACCTTTTGATTCTTCTGACCAAAGTACATGACCTCATACTTACTTACATTAAACTCCATCTGCTAATTTTTTTCCCACTCACTCAATCTATCTGTATCCCTTGCAGATTCCTTATGTCCTCATCACAAATTGCTCTCATGCCTATTCTTGTATCACAGCAAATTTAGATACTTTATTCTCTGACCCCTCTTCCAAATCATTGCTATAGATAGTAAATAATTGAGGCCCAGGACTGATCCTTGTGGGACTCCACTAATTATGTCTTTCCAAACTGACCTACTAATCCCAACTCTCTGTTTTCTGTGAGCTAACCAATCCTCAATCTTTGCTAATATATTACTTGCAATACCGTGAGATCCCATCTTGTGCATTAACCTTTTATGCAGCATTTTATTGAATGCCTTCTGGACATCCAAAGACACCGTGTTCACCAGTTTCCTTTTTTAATTCCTCTTGTTGTATCCTCAAAAAGTTCTAGCAAATTTATCAAACATGACTTCTCTCTTAGAAAACCATGCTGACTCTGTTCCATTAACTTAAGCTTTTCTAAATGTCCTGCTAATACTTAGTCCTTAATAATGGCCTCTAGCATTTTCTGAATCACAGATGCTTGGCTAATGGTCCAATAGTTTCCTGCTTTCTGTCTCCCTCCTTCTTCAACAAGGACATTAGATTGATGGATTTCCAATCCACTGGAAGCTTTCCTGAATCCAGTGAGCACTGGAATATTTTGATCAATGCTTCCACTGTCTCTCCTTCCTGCAGAGATTTTGTCTTCAACACATAAGCTGCAGCGCACTGGCAATTAATGCAATGAAGGTCAGATCCTAGGAACATCAACTGATCTGAACCAACCAGATTAGAACCAAATAATAACAATGAAAATCAAGGCCGATGTATCTGAAAACTGATTTCATTCTCTGTTTGAAGGTAGCCAGATGCCAAATTTATAATCTAGGAAGCAAGCGGAGCATTACACTTGATTCACTCACCTATACATCTTAAAATGCTTCAAATGATGAGTTAGGATTTGGAGTTCAAAGACTGGTGTCATGTAGCTAATAGCAGCAGGTACTTTGCACCACGTCACATCAGGTCAATCTGGAGGACCTATTGGGTCTGTTCCTCCTTCTCCTAATTTGTAATTTCATTTGTTTCTAATTCATGTTACACAATCATCAAGATTTCCCTCTCTTATGATCCTAAGCTCCATCCTACATTGTGCCATCTGATCCACAATGCATATCTAAAGCCAAGCTCCTCCTTTTTGGGAAGCAGATTCATCATACATCTCTACTGTACTTGCTTGAATTCTCTCCATAAACCTGATCTCTTGCTACTTCTACCAAAACCTATCCTTTGTGCTATGTGTTGGCATCCTTACTCAATTCTTCTACTGCACCTCATTGTCCATATCTGTGTGACAGTCCAGACAAAGTGTTTGTCTCCAGAAACATTGTCTTGACTTTTTGGCTTCCAGCTTACTGATGGAGATGTTTTAAATTATTGAGCATTCCCATTCCATTTTTGAATATTTATAGAAGTAATTCTAGCAAACATTGGGCAACACAATTGGGCTCCCTCTCTGGCCTTGAAATAGTCTTCTGCTGTTGTTGGAAGTTAAAATAACTCCATTGAGGCCGGTATCCCATCACCAAGTCACCCTTTATTTACACATGCACTGTATTTGACATTGGTCTAGCTTCCTCAGAGTCAGCTCTCAGAGTGAAGAGAACCTCTGACAGAACCTTCCTGCTCCTCTGATGCTGCTTGACCTGTTGTATTCATCCAGCTCTACACCTTGTTGTCTCAGATTCTCCAGAATCCGCAGTTCCCACTATCTCAAAACCTCTGACACTCCTGTTTATATCTGTCAGCCAGGGCTCCCTAATTGGACCAGATTAACAGCCCCAATCAGGGATCTCATATTGAATGAGGTCCACCTGGCCGACCTCATTACAATCACTAAAGACTTTGTGCCAATTTACAGAAAAAATTGGTTAAGTAAGTAAGTAATTCTCATTCCAAACACTCATCCTGAGCTAATTACTTCTAAGTAATTCTTAACTATTCACTTTGCAGCAACGAAAGGCTGCTTTTCATTTCCAGAAACACCTCCCAAAAATGTGATTTCCCCAGTATTGCGATGCATGGGGAACGCTTGATTGCAAAACTGCTCTGAATAGCCTGGTGAACTGATGAGTGACTCATAGCCAGTAGAGTATACAGGACACTTTGTTTTTGCAACAGTGTCCATGGTTACGGCATTGCTTGTGTAACTCTGTGACTTCCTGAGCTATTCCCACTGAAGGAATATCAATAATACATTTCCCAAGTATCCCATCCCATAATCAACGTATGCCTGGAAATAGGCACACCTCAAGCAGAATCCAAAAACCCAAGTAATAAATTTAAATTAAAAGGACATAATTTCATACGTTTTCTTCTCTCTTTCTTATCTTGTATAATATTTAACTCTCCTTTTGTTGTGTTGCTTGTGTGAGCACTTGATGCATAAACAGGGGAAGAGTTCATTTTTCCAGCACTAGATAAAAGGTGAAGTCACCAGAGTCCCAGAGGGGTGCCTTATCAGACAGAGATGCCTGGTGGTAGTTTAACCTGAGGGTCATCACACCTGAGGAAAGGGGAGAGGTTCAGCCAGAACAGGAACTGAACTTGTGCAGGTGCCGTCACTCTGTATTGCAAACCAGCCAGCTGAGCTATCTGAGAGAAATAAGCCCAGCAGCAACCTATTTTGATCAAGCAGATTGATAATTCACGGGCCAGACCTGATACATTCAACATGCTTTATGGCTGGCAAACCGAAACGAATGTAAGAAGGCATTGTAATTTCAAACAGTGTAGGAAGATTGCACTCATATAAAGCTACAGAACAAGACTTGCACTTTTATAGCCTTTCATAACCTCAGAACTTCCTAAACTCTAGTCAGCACCATTTCAAAGAGTAGTCACTTTGTAAAGACAGCAGTCAATTTGCACACAGCAAGTCCCCACAAACAACAAGCCAATGGATATTATCTACCTGAACTTCAAGAAGGCCTTTGACAAGGTGCCGCACAGGAGGCTGCTGAGTCAGATAAGGGCCCACAGTGTTAGAGGCAAGGTGCTAGCATGGAGAGAAGATTGGCTGTTTGGCAGAAAGCAGAGAGTGGGGATAAAAGGGTCTTTCTCAGCATGGCAGCCTGTGACAAGTGGTGTTCCACAAGGGTCATTGCTGGGACCACAACTTTTCACTTTATACATTAATGATCTAGATGAAGGAACTGTGGGCATTCTGGTTAAGTTTGCAGATGATACAAAGATAGGTGGAGGGACAGGTAGTATTGAGGAGGTGGGGAGGCTGCAGAAGGATTCGGACAGGTTAGCAGAGTGGGCAAAGAAGTGGCAGATGGAGTACAACGTGGAAAAGGGTGAACTCATGCACTTTAGTAAGAAGAATAAAAGCATGGACTATTTTCTAAATGGGGAGAAAATTCAGAAGTCTGAAGTGCAGAGAGACTTGGGAGTTCTAGTCCAGGATTCTCTCAAGGTAAACTTGCAGGTTGAGTCAGTAGTCAGGAAGGCAAATGCAATGTTGTCATTTATTTTGAGAGGACTTGAATATAAAAGCAGGGATGTACTACTGAGGCTTTATAAGGCGCTGGTCAGGCTACGTTTGGAGTATTGCGTGCAGTTTTGGGCCCCATATCTCAGGAAGGATGTACTGGCCGAGGAGGTTCACGTGAATGGTCCCAGGAATGGAAACCTTGACATATGAGGAACTTTTGAGGACTCTGGGACTATACTCATTGGAGTTTAGAAGGATGAGGGGGGAAACTAATTGAAACTTACAGAATACTGAATGGCCTGGACAAAGTGGATGTTGAGAAGATGCTTCCATTGGTGGGAGAGACTAGGACCCGAGGGCACAGCCTTAGAGTAAAGGGAAGACCTTTTAGAATGGAGATAAGGAGAAACGTCTTCAGCCAGAGAGTGGTGAATCTTTGGAATTCACTGTCACAGAAGGGTGTGGAGGCCAGGTCATTGACTACATTTAAGACTGAGATAGATAGGTTCTTGATTATCAAAGGGATCAAGGGTTACGGGGAGAAAGCGGGAGAATGGGGTTGAGGATCTTATCAGCCATGATTGAATGGCAGAGCAGACTCAATGGGCCGAATGGCCTAATTTCTGCTCCTCTGTCTCATGGTCTTATGGTCTAACAATGTTGTGATGACCAGATAATCCATTTTGCTGACATTGATTGAATTGTAGAATCATAGAATCCGTACAGTGCAGAAAGGCCATTTGGCCCATTAAGTCTACACCAACCTTCCAAAAAGCATCCCACCCAGACCCAGTCCTCACCTTATACCCATAACCCTGCATTTAACTGACCTAGCCTGCATATCACTGGACACTATGAGGTCATTTGACATGGCCAATCCACCTAACCTGCACATCGTTGGACTATGGGAGAAAACCGGAGCACTCAGAGGAAACCCATGCAGACACAGGGAGAATGAGCAAACTCCACATAAACAGTCACTCAAGGTTGGAATCGCACCCAGGTCCCTGGTGCTGTGAGGCAGCAGTGCTAATCATGTAGCAACTGTGCCGCTGAATATTGAATGATTTACTGAGAAGATCGTTGCCAGTTTCTTCAAACCCAAAATGGTCGAGATGGGCTACAATATTCACCATTCTGGTCAAACTAGAACAGTCGTGTTGATTAAACAGAGTGAAGTTTATTGTATTATAGCTACAACTTACATGAATATGACCTACATTGTTACAGAGATCAATAGGAGAACACAACCGAAATAACTGCGGAGAGGCCAGTATCTGTCACAAAGTCACCCTTTTGTGCACAATGCACTGGCCTTGACCAGCCAGCTCAGAATCAGTCCCTGAGTTCAGGAGGTTCTCTGAATCCCCTGTTTACATCTGTCAGCCAGGACTCCCTGTTTCATTTATAGAGGACGTCAGTGATGTACATTTATTCTTTATGTCGATCTGCGTGGTTTCTGCTTTGACAGATGATAGTTTTTCTTTGCAGCATGTTTGTTTGTCTCCTCTTATTGGTAGCTTCTATGGAGTTGTATGCAGCACATCTTCACTTTGTGTCAGCAGAATTTGGTTCTCATTCTGCCTGTAGGTCTGTGATGAAGTAAACAGACTGATTACCTCAACTTCTTGAATATTTTGGGCTCTCAGTGATTAAATTATTGGTAAAAACAATTTGTTCATATCTTAAATGTAGTGATTGGAATGATGACCAGGTGGATCTCACTAACTATGAGATCCTTGATTGGGGTTATTAACCTGGGCCAATCAGGGAGCCCTGGCTGACAGATATAAACAGGAGATTCAGAAGTTCTCCTCATTCCAGGGGCTGGCTCTGAGCTGGCTGGTTCACTTGTAAATAAAGGGTGACTTGGTGAATGGATACCAGCCTCTGTTCAGTTATTTCACTCAATTTAGGTCACTTGAAGATATATTCTTGCAAAATGTGATATTTTTGTTTTGTTGGGAAGGTGGGGAGGTCAGCTATTTTTCTTGATCTTGTCCCTTCTTATCAGCTCAGTCCCAAAGGAAGACATGAATTTGGAGTGGATGGTTCTTCACTGTGCCATATCACAATCTGTTTAAATGTTGTTGTAGATGCTTCTATTGCCGGCTCGGCTTCCTCTTGAGTGGTGCAGACTGTTCACTTGCTGCCTCCTCACTTGCTCTCCTTCTCAAACTTTGGAATCTGAACGCTTTTCTATTTTAATAAAAACATTTCAGCCAAACTACCATAATCACAACTTTCTATCTCATTTATGGTATTAAACATCTTTTTATGCCAATGCAACTAACTTCAGGAGATTCTGCTTCTTGTTTAAAGTTCTGCAGCTTGCAAATGTGATTTCCTATTTTGTCTTTAAAGGGTTAATTCTGCTGTGATGGTGCATCTCCTGTGTTTTTCTGGTGTAATGAAGGGTTATCCTATGTTTTGCAGCTGTAATTAATATTCTCCAGCCTTCCTGAGTCTTGGTAAGAGTCCTGCCATGTTCTGGTCTTTGAAAACAATTTGCTTGTTAAAACAAAATCATGAACATCTTTAAATTGGCCAGCGCTTTTCTGCTTGGTTAGTTGGTTGGTTGGTTCGCGATTGCCCCAGCCTTCCAATCCTGCATTATACACGTTCGTTCTTGTAGCTTTCTTAGCTTCATTTTTCTGACCCTGTCACATGGTATCCACATCCCTTAGAAGCGATATTTCGTGATTCAAAACTGCAATGTTTAAAAAAATTATTGCCCCTACTGCCTGAAATACCATGCGATTTAAGGTTTCCTCTTTCGAACAAGGGATTTTTGGTTTGTCTCATGCGATCCTTGATGTCCAGTCTGTCTACCAGTTCTATGAGGATATGGGATCATTTCCACAGATGCAGTATCACCTGTACCTTGGTCTTGGAGCCTTTCAGACCAAAATACGACAGTGACCATCGCAGATCTTCTTCAGAATAGTGCAAAATGGCTTTTTACATCAACCTGAGAGAAGGCAGGTAGTTCCTTTGTTGGCCTCACCTGCTTCCATACTGCAACATTCCTTCAGTGCTGCACCGAAGTGTCAGCCTAGATTTCAAGTCACAGATCTTTGGAGTAGGTCTTCTATTCACAGCTTTGTGGCTCAGAGGTGAGACTGCTTCCAAGAGTCATGATGACTGAAGAAGGGTTCCATCCCGAAATGTCAACTTTCCTGCTCTTCTGATGCTGCCTGGCCTGCTGAGTTCCTCCAGCTCCACACTGTGTTATCTCCAACTCCAGCATCGGCAGTTCTTACTATCTCTCATGATGCATTTCTTTTCATTTTGATACTGAGGGACAAGATACATGCATATTTGGAAGAAAATGGACCAGTTAATGACAGGCAGAATGATTTTATTTGGGAAGGTCATATCTCACCAACCTGATTGAATTTTTTGAAGAGGTGACAAAAATAATTGATGTAGTTTATGTGGACTTTAGTAAGGCATTTGATAAAGTCCCACATGACAGATTCGTAAAATCACATGGGAATTGGGGTGGGCTGGCTAGATGGATACAAAACTGGCTTGGCCATAGAAGACAGAGGGTAGTGGTGGAAAGGTGTTTTTCAGAATGGAGACCGGTAACTAGTTCCACAGGGGTCAGTCTTAGGTCCTCTGTTGTTTGTAGTAAATATAAATGATCTGGAGAATAATGTGGCTGGTCTGATTACTGAGTTTGCAGATGACATGAAGATTGATGGAGTTACTGATAATGCCGACGAAGGGATACTAACAGGATATAGATAGATTGGTGACTTGGGCACAAAGTTGGTAGATGGAGTTTAATCCAGACAAATACGAGGTGATGCATTTTGGAAGATTAAATTTAGGTGTGAAGTATACTGTAAATGGCAGAGCCCTTAGGAACACTAACATACAAGATGGATCTGGGTCGCAGTTCCCTACAAGTAGCAATACAGGCGTCCAAGGTGATTAAGAAGGCATATGGCATGCTTGCCTTCATTGGCTGGGGCATGGAATACAAGAGGTGGAAAACCATGCTGCAGTTATAAAAAAACTCTTGTTATGCCACATTTGGAGTACTGTGTGCACTTTTGGTCACGATTTGGAGGTGGAAGACCCACAGCAATATGGCTGACTCTGAACTACCCTCTGAAATGGCTGAGTAGACTGCTCAGTTCAAGGGCAATTAGGTAAGGGCAACATGCCAGCCTTGCAGTAAAGTTCAAATCCCACAGAAACATTAAGAAAGATAGCTACATGGTAATCACAAGAACATCAGGGATGTTGGATCGCAAGGGATTAAAAACTGGGGGAAAGGCACCTCTGGTTCCTGCTGTGCCATGTTTCTCTTTGAATGTGAACACTTAATAAAAGTTGAAACACAAACAGAAATTGCTGGACATTCTGAGGAAGAGTCACAGGACCTGAAACATTAACTCTGTTTTCTCTCCACAGATGCTGCCAAACCTGCTGAGTTGCTCTAACAATTTCTGTTCTTGTTTCAGATTTCCAGCATCCACAACTCTTTAGTTAATTTTAGTTATTAAAAGTCATTGGTTTCCACTGGTGCGGTGTCCAGTCTTTGTCATTAACAGCTCCCAGAACCTTATTCTGACGGTCCTACTGGATTTCCATAGGAAATTTCCCAACATAATTTCTTAAAGAAAGACCAGTGGAGGAATGCCAGTCAGAACAGATTACACTATGTGTGTCCTATACATATATCACACCATCCTCTGTGAACAAAGATGTGCATCCTTTAATAAATAGGTAAAGAAAATATTACTGTGAAAATAGGTGTCAATGTAATTAATGTAAGTTGCTATTCGTCTTATTACAATTTTATACATTTATATTTTTCTATTTTGATTCCCTCAATCATTTTACTGAAATGTTGCTAATTTGGAAGTTCAAGCTTCACATTGGAATTCTAAATTTCCATGACTGCAGTTCTTGAAGCCAAACATTTGCAAAACGTTGTATGAAAGCTTGCATATATTTTTGTGTCACTATACGATGTTTAATTGGCTTCCTTTAAATTTAATGTCTGCACAGCTTTCTGTTCCATACAAATGCGCAAAAGTGCAGCCGGGACTGTATGACTCTCCAAATAGATTTCTGCTTGAGTTAGATTTGGTTCTAGTTATTTGTGACAGAATTATGGTGGTAAAATCAGCCTTTCAAGATATAATTGCTCATGCATTATTCAGTCAGGTATCTGGCACAAATATCTTGTTCTTTGTCACTCCCTTATTTAAAAGTATGCCAGCAATAAGTGCTACCAACCTTTGCTGGAACATATTCCATCTCTACATTAGAACATGGAGTATTAACTTACTGGTAAATGAAAAGTGACACAGTAACAGAGCCCAGGGAAAGGCCAGAAGTATTGCATTATTCATTGTGGTCTTCATCCTTTCAACTGTTTAAACCTGTGCGATTTGGAGTGTCCACCTTCGTCCGTCAACTATAGTAAAGAAACATAAGTGGGAAAAGAGGTGTTAATAATGTGTAAGACATGTGGAAGTTTTAATGTGTCTTTATATGCATGAAAGATGACAGCAGTGCAATTCAATTTGTGCACTTCCAAGCACAGGCGGCACAGATCTTAATGAAAAAATAGGAAGTATGTTGATGCATTGGAGATGGTGCAAAGAAGATACGTAAGGATGATACCAGTACATGAGCTAATAGCTATTATATTAGCAGAGGCATCGGTTAGCTTAGTTGGCTGGATGGCTCATCTGCAATGCAGAGTAATGCCAACAGCATGGATTCAATTTCTGCACTGACTGAGGTTACTATGAAGGACTTTCCTTTTCAACTTCTCTCCTTGCCTGAGATGTGGTGACCCTCAGGTTAAACTACTAGCAGTTGTCTCTCTCTAGTGAGAAAGCAGCCTTGTGGTCTGGTAGGATTATACCAACTTTACCTATCGGAACCGTCTGAGCCTCTCTCTTATTAGAAACCAAATTATTTTGAGATGTGATCTGATAGAATTTTTAAAATTATGATAGCTTTTCATAGAGTTGAAGTGGAGAAGATGCTTTCACTTCTGCAGATGTCCAAAACTAGCTGGCATAAATAGGAAATAGTCACTGATAAGCCTAACAGAGAATTTGGGAAGGACTAGTGGCCTTAGAGGATGGTTAGAATGTGGTCTGTGGTGCTCAAAGAGCAGCGGAGTTTGATGCATCAGGATATGATAAAGAGGGGGTGGATGAGGAGGCATAGGCCAGTCAGGCCATTTGGCTTATTTCTGTGCTGTGCAATCTATATGAATTTCATTTTAAACCACGTGAAAATACTCTTGAGAATATCGATCAGTTTTTGTCACTTACTGGTAAAACAAGATATTGGCAAAGTTCCCATTGAGATTAAACAGTACACACCCGCTTTCAAAAAAACTTGAAGAACATAAGTTCCAATCTTTTAAGACGTAAGTTGGAAATCAGATAACATTGATATAGCACTGAAGATCGGCTAATAGATTTACAGAGGTTTCACGCAAGCATCCAGCTCATCATCATCAACACAGGAGCAAATTACTGCAGACGCTGGAAGCTGAACTGAAAACAGAAAATGCTGGAAATCCAAGTAGGTCAGGCAGCATCCATGGACAGACAGCAAGCTAATGTTTTGAGTCTAGATCAACACAGTGTGGAGCTGGAGAAACACAACAGGTCAGGCAGCACAGAGGAACAGGAAAGTTGACGTTTCAGGTTTACACCCTTCATCAGGTGTAAATCCAAAACATTGACTTTCCTGCTCCTCCGATGCTGCCTGGCCTGCTATATTCCTCCAGCTCCACACTGTGTTGACTGTGACTCCAACATCTGCAGTTCTTGCTACTTTTGGATCTAGATGACTCATCATCAGAGTTGAGTACTTCTGAGCTCTGATGAAGAGTCATCTGGGTTTGAAACGTTAGCTTGCTCTCTCTCCATGGATGCAGCCTGACCTGCTGTGATATCCAGCATTTTCTGTTTTCAGTTATCATTATCAATGTTCTGTTAGCCTGCCCCCCAACCTACTTGATCTAACCCATCTGTATATTCTTCCATTTCCTTCTCCATTAAGTGATGATCTAGTTTCCACTTTAAAGCATTTGTGACATTTCCTTCACTAACTCCATGTTGTATAAACTTCTACATTTTAATTGCTTTAGAGAATAAGATCTCTCCTCATTTCTCCTATGAGTATATTGGTAACTTATTTATATTTGTAATTCCTTGATCAGGGCTCCCCTGACAAGTAAAAGATCCTCTCTAGTTCCTGTCTATCAACTTCAGAATTTTAAAAGCTTCAATTTGATCACTCCACTGCCTTCTCTTTTCTAGAGAGAAAGTTTGATGACTATCCAGTGTTTTCTGCTATTTATAATCACTCATTTCTAGTGTCATCCTGAAGAGGTCTTTGGGATTTACTATGGTAGTAAAAGACACTAGATAAATGCAAGCTCTTTCTGTCTTGAGATTATCATTCTCAGAAGGAAAACTGTTTGACTGCAATGCAACAGAGTGACAATTACAATATGAACATCATTCAAGCTTAAAGGCTAACACAAAAGAGAAATTTGCACTGCTCTTTATAAATTGAGCTTCAGATTCTATCTTTGTCTCCTTACTGTTAATATCCATACCTGTCTTCCCTGTGTGAACTCGAGTACAAAGTGAACCCTAATGTCCATTTATATGGAGTCAGACCCATTAAACATCAATATTTCCATTCCTCAGAATACGTGTAATAGATGTTCTAGAGTCATTACCATCCTTGGCAGATGATGAGGTTCTCCTGGCTATTGAATAATATTAGAGCTAACTAATGTCATCGTTTCCAAAAGTGGTTACTGTCGAAACTAGCTTTGAGATGTATACAGTTTTTAGTATGTCTCACTGTTGCTGACAGCTGCATTTTGCCCAATTGGCTCACTACAAACAATGCCATATTTAAAATGCCGACCAGCAGTATTGCTATTTATTTAATGCTGTGTTCGCTTCAGAGGCTATTTGATCTATCATCATTGATCCATGCTTCCATTCTTTGTAGCTGCATCTGGACACCCCTGTTTATGCTGAGGGCCAATATTGGAACCAACTCCTCTGAGCTCTACTTCACTAAAGTGTCCTCCAGCTGAGGTAGAAATCTGTAACATCAACTTCCCAAAAGGTCTTGACATTGGAAGTGATTGTTAAAGATTAGAGATAGTCCTAAACACCCCTGAAAGGTAAATAAAGCATTTATATAGCATCCTCCACTACCACAGGACATCCAAAAGATCTTTTAAGTCTTTAAGTACCAAGCACAGGCAAGTGGCACTAGTTTAGTTTGGGAACCTGGTCAGCGTAAATTAGTTTGACTGAAGGGTCTGTTTCCATGCTATATGACTCTATGGAAGAGTCAAATGCAGTAGATAATACACAAAGCAAAATCTTATGAACCAGCAATTAATTAGTTCACCTTTCTAAGTGACATTGGTAGAAAGTTAGTTTCAAGAACTTGTCTGTTTTTCTTCAAATGCTCACATTAGGGAACTTTGACTTGACATCTGAAACATGATACATCAGGCAATGCAACACTACCTCAGACCTGTGTGGAAATCAGCTCAAATTGTTTTGGGGTTTAGAGGCAAGATTCCTGCCACTGCACCAAGACTGACATTAACATCTGAATACAAAACCAAAGTTTGGCTGCCCATTATAGGAAGTGCCTGATTTTCATGACAATCAAATCCAACACAAAAAACAAAAATGGCTATTGTGTTGGATTACTAGGCTACAATGGCAGCTTTACGCCCAGGGAGTGAGTTGATGTTTGCCAGATCTGGGAAAAAATTCCACTCATTAGCACCATGGAAATGACAGAACAAGAGACAGAGCAATAGCAAAGAACTAATGCAAAAAGAAAGAGGACAAAGAAAATGAAGGGCAGCAAAAGAGTAGCCAAATAGAAATAGAGAAATGGCAGAAGCATAATATCGGGGAGAGATAATAGGAAACGGAACTGAACAATAGGACTTGAAGTGGAGGGAATATAGAGAGTTACAGCGATAGTAATCGAAGAAGGTGAAAAGGGAGAAACATGAATCAGGCAGAAACAACACTTAAAGATTTCACTGGCTCATTCAAAGCAATGGTATGTCATATGAGCATAAATAATATCAGTTTGCGAAAGAAAATATAGATTTTCATTCATAACAAACTCTCTATATATACATAAATTACTTTTATGTTATGCAGAAAATGCTTTTCAATAGTTCTACACCATAGATAAAATTAATACACACATGAAGTGTAACTTTTGCATCGCATAATAATTTCAAACTTCAGCTGAATTGACATTTTGTTTACATTGTTTTAAAGACCAGTGGTTAAAAATAATGGAGTCAAAATTATTGCAAAGCAGCCTTAAAAGGACACAACATACCTTGTGAAAACTTGCTTGCTCTCCGTCACTCATGTAGAGCTTCACAAGCAGAGGGCTATATCACTTGTGCTGATTTGTTAAATAAAGCTGGCTCTAGGTCAGTAAGGAGAGATTTGTTCTGGTCTAATTTATATTCATTGCACAGAAGCACGGAAGAACTACTGGATTATATAAGATCTGTGATGACTGCATCACGACGGTTAAAAAAACACTCTTTACATGTGGCACGAAACCACAATGCTAAAATGATTGCTGCATGACACACCCCTAACTGACTTAACAAAAGTAGGCATCAGTTATTTTAATTCATGTTTTTCATTAAATGTCCTCCATATCCACCCTACACCAAATACTGTCTCAAGACGTAACGGTTTTCTGCCCACGAAACAAGTTAGAGAAAGGATGTGAACTATTCCTATTTGTGCAAAAGTAAATTTTCTGCTTGTCTGAAATGGCACAGTAACCCACCTCACCCCAACAATCTGGGCTGGAATCCAAATAAAGGTCATAGTTCTCCTGATGTTCTGATCATAGCTAGTCCTCCAAAGCATAACAACCAGATTAACTGGTTCACTGTCTCATTTTTATTTATGGGATCCTGCCAGCATACAACGACTGGCGTTTCTGCCCATCAAGGATTGATTGCATTTCTCATGTAATCCATTGTTTGAAGTGCTTTGGAAACAAATGAGTTCTCATTGTGGTTCAGTCCATCACATTTTTGCCACTGAGTCAGAATACAATAATATTCAGAACACAAAATCTTGGATCATTTCATTGCTGGCGGTTGTTGAGGTGCCAATCATAGAATCCCTACAGTGTGGAAGCAGGCTGTTTGGCCCATCTATTGATCCTCCAATGAGCATCCCACCCAGACCCACACACTCACCTTATCCCCATTGCCCTCCATTTCCCATGGCTAATCCATCTAGCCTGCACATCCTTGGACACTATAGGAATTTAGCATAGCCAACCTACCTAATCTGTACATCTTTGGACTGTTGGAGAAAACCAGGGCACCCGGAGGAAACTCACGCAGACACAGGAAGAATGTGCAAACTCCACACAGACAGTCACCCGAGGGTGGAATCAAACCCGGATCCCTGGTGCTGTGAGGCAGCAGTGCTAACCACTGACCAACATGCCACTCCAACACTCAAGCTGAGCGGTAAAGACCAGATATGCTGCCACTGTTGTGGAATGAATAGTCCTTGGTGTCCTGGTCAAAACTAAGCTCCTAAAATGATATTATTGGACAAAATCAAATTAGATTGCTGTTTGATGTACGCAAATTGATTTCTTTCTTACATTCCAGCAGCGACTTCACTTCAAAACTGGCTGCAAAGATCTCTGAGAACATCTCTGAGAACATCGAAAGGTGTTATACGAATCCATGTCTGCCACTTGTAAGGAGGGTTCCTTTTACCGTCATGATGCAGTTGTCACAAATTTTATATAATCCAGTAGTTCTTCCTGTGCTTTTGTCGAAAGAATATAAATCAGCGCAGAACAAATCTCTCTTTACTGACTTAAAGCCAGCTTTATTTAACAAGTCAGTGCAAGTGATGACACCTACGATCCATCCATGTACTTATCAAGAAGCCAAAAGGGCTGCATAGAGCAAGGGTTGGGAACCATGGCAACATTCCAGAACTGAAGAAGGGTCTAGGCCCGAAACGTCAGCCTTCCTGCTCCTCTGATGCTGCTTGGCCTGCTGTGTTCATCCAGCTCTACATCTTGTTATCTCACACTCCTAGCCATGTTGTTCTCATACAATCACAACCCTAGCATCTACCAAATAGTGAGGAAAATTGCCCTGTCCATAAAACACGGTTCAAATCCACTCTGGACAATTTTCACTGAATCAGGCCATTGTACAAGGCAATGCTTCTGCATGGGTTCATTTTACATCAGCTCCACGAATTCTACTACTGTCTCTCAGTGTGTGGGTGGAGACAAGGAGTTATCTTCCTTCCAGATGGAGCAGATGGTATGACTGCTAACTCCCTAAGGTCCCAGTAATTATGTCTGACAATATGTAGCTGCTGCTATCATGCAATAAATCATCTTGTTATTTAAGAACTGTGCCTCTTCTGCAGATACAATATTGTACTGTATTGTCTTCCAATGATCACTGGATTGGCTTTGGATAAAGCAAAGATAAAGGAGGATTGGTGGCAGCAAAGGACATATTGGTAGAGATGGCAAATGCCACAAAGTGCCAGCAGTGGTCGTTTAGGAAAATATCACACAGTCTATCTTAATCATGAGCAAAGCGATGGAAAGAAGAATTGAAAGGGATTTCAAGCAGACATTACCGTCCAATAATCTGATCACTGATGCTCACACTGGGTTGTGCTACGGACCTCAATGATCCACAATTGGACAAAGGAGCTGAAATTCAGGGGTGAGGAACATATCTGCCATTGAAATCAGGGCAGAATGTGACTATATGTGCTATCAAAATTAATTACAATAGCATTTAGGGGGAACATTTTCAATTGCTGAACTCATACATTACACAAAAATGGCTGTTGGAGGCCAATTATCTCAGCTCCAAAACATTATTGCAATAGTTACTTGACTCCAACCATCTTCACCAGCTTAACCAACGAATTTCGTTCAACTTAAGAAATGAGAATAATACATTGCATTCAGGATCATTTGTAACCCCTCAGACCATGAAGCAGTCCATGACTGCATGCAGTAAGAGTGGGACAAATTCAGGCTTAAGAAATCTTGGACAATTGGTCCTCTAAATTTGGTGGCTTTTCCTTACAATTTGAAGGATTACTGCAATCCTTGAATTATTTCTGCTTATATTTTTGATTTGTGTATATTGTGGCTTCACCATTTTGCTCCTGCCCTGAATGAGCTAGTTATAGTCATTGAGTTGTACAGCATGGAATCAGACCCTTCATTCCAATTCATCTACACCGACCAGATATCCTAAATTAATCTAGCCCCATTTGCCAGCATTTGGCCCATATCCCTCCAAACCCTTCCGATCCATGTACCTATCCAGACGCCTTTTAAATGTTGTAATTGTACCAGCTTCCACCATTTCCTCTGGCAGATCATTCCAAAAATGCAGCACCTCCTGCCTCATAGGTCCCTTTCAAATCTTTCCACTTTCACATTAAACCTATCTCACCCTGGGAAAAAGGCCTTGACTATTTAGCCTATCCATGACCCTCATGATTTTATAAATTTCTATAAGGACCCCTCAGCTTCCAATGCTCCAGAGAAAATAAACCCAGCCTATTCAGCCTTTCCCAATAGGTCAAACCCTCCAACCCTGGCTACATCTTTGTAAACCTTTTCTGAATCCTTTCAAGTTTAACAACATCTTTCCTTTAGCAGTATTGCATAATTTAACGCAGTATTCTAAAAGTGGTCTAATTTGTATAATTGCACAGTCAATCAAACTTTCCATGACTGAATTTTACACAGGCATGTGGACTACATAACTATTATCCAGTCATTGTGTTTTGATGAAAGAAATACTCAATTTCAATTAAGCAACCACCCTCAACTAACCATATTGCTCCAAACATTTCTTTTTCATGCTGTAACTATACCCGTATCTACCACTTCCTTTGGAAATTCATTCCACACATGAACCACTTTCTGTGAAAAAAAAATGACCTTCATGTTTTTCTTAAATCTCTCTCCTTTCACCTTAAAAATGTGTCCCCTAGTCTTGGAATCCCCCACCACAGGGAAAAGACACCTGCCATAAACCCTACCCATATCTGTCATGATTTTATAAACCTCTACAAGGTCACCTCTCAACCTCCCACACTCCGGTGAAAAAAGTCCCAGCCTCTACTTATAACTCAAACCTTTCATTCCTGGCAATATCCCAGTAAATCTCTTCTTCAGAAGTGTTGGAATATATTTATTTATATACTTGTGACAGAAGAGGAGCAAGAAGACCAAATGGTTTGGATGTTTGATAATGATGGTGAAAGAGAAAAAGAGATGCAAAATTAAGGTTTGAAAGATCTGTTCAAAGCACCAGACATTATGAGTGTGCGTGTTGGGGAGTGTGAGTAAATTTAGGAAAAATGAGGGTCAAAATGGTAAATGCGTAAAAACACCATTCCTCAAATAAGATGTAGAAGAAATAGACTATAAGGCTGTTTTTCCCCCTTGTTTATAAAACTCTCAAATAGTTTGTAGATGCCTCAGAATTTAATGAGCTCAACTCAATTTTAATGCAAAATGTAGGGTGCCCAAAATCTTCTGCTTTTATTTTGTAAAGTAAGGAGACTGACATTTTGCAACATATTGTAATTAATTATACACTGACGTACTCATAGTTGTGCATTCCTTCTTGTTCAGTACTTATTTTCTATCTGTTTTTTGTGAATGATGATGACTTTTTTTTATTTGTATCGTTACCACTTTTTGGCAGCTGCCATTATGACATTTTAATGAACAAATTATCTGTCTACTTATAACACTTAAGGACACAAGGTAGTGAAAGTTGTAATAAATGCAAGTTACTTCCTTAAACAGTGACCTTTGTTGATTATTAAATGGAGACACAAACTGTGTATTGTCTCCATTCAATCTTTTTTGAATGGTCAATTGAGTGATTTTGGAGGACCTTGTGGCAGGATGTCCCTAGGTCTGGGCAAAAGCCTGGTTTCAAATCCCACCTGCCCCAGACACATGTCTGTAATAATAAACAAAGAACTGGGGATGCTGGAGATCCCAAACAAAAACAGAAATTTCTGCAGAAATTCAGCAGGTCTGGTAACATCTGTGGGGAGCAAGCAGATTTTTAATTTTTCGAGGCCAGTAACCCTTGTTCAGAACTGTTAACAGGTTGGAAAAAATCGCATAAATGCTGACACAATGTGGGTGGGGGTGAGTGGACAGGTGGAGATGGAGACCAGAGAGAGACAACAAGAGATAGGTAGATGATGGCAAGCCAGGGGGAAAGAAAAAAAGAACAGCATAAGTCAGTGAAGATGAGTTGGCTGCGCCTGTATTTTGTCCAAATATATTGATTAAAAGTATGCACAAGATAGTCTACACTTGTGTGACTGCCCCACAACCTTCGGGGGAACGAGGGAACAAAATGAAAATGCAGAACTTTTTCCTCGGTGATCCAGAAGACAATTTGCCAACAAATGAAAATTAAGGGCGACTCTCAACATTGATGTCACGCAGTAAGATTTCCGAATGGGAGGTTGGTCAGGGACATTTTCCTGAGAATATGTTTGATACGTGGGCTACGCTGTGATGGGAAACCAGATTATGTTAAGGCTGG